CCAGTAGGACAATACCAGAGGCCTCTGACAACAGAAGCTTACAAAGCTCCTACCAGGCTCATTTTGCCCTTCATCAGCACAGCTAAATCCCACCCTGAATGGCACAGACCATCCCATAGGAGTATTTCAGTGGGAGGCAGAAAAGCAGCCTGCTGATCCTCCATCTATGCACCATCCTGTGCACACTGACCTCCTTCTTCATCTCAGTCCTAACTGTGCTACACCCAAGCATGTGATACCCTGCTATGGAGCGGTGCAGTGAAGTCTCAGCGCATGTGCTCCAGGGGTGCAGGTTTCAGTTCAGGAAACACTTCTGGAGCTGAAGTTCTGTGACTGCCCTTAAATTGCTGTTCCTGTATAGCTTCGAGCAAGCCCAGGTTCACATCAGCAGTGCCCATAGAGTCTGTTCTAGAGAGAACCTTTGGGATCAGCTGGTGAACAAAGCCTGGGCAGACAGGGCTTGTCCATACACATCACAAGCTTACCTGGTGCTCAAAACAGACCAACTACAAAAACCCTCAAACAAAAGAACAACTACTAGAAAGCCCAATGAGACTCCTGGAGCCAGCCATCTTCAACCACAAACAGCAGACCAAGACAATCCCCACCAACCTTTTTGCACTTTCAGGGCCAGCCCCCATCCCAAAGATCTGGCTAAGCCCAGAACATGCAGGAGCTCCTGGAGAGCCCTTCCTTGTCCAAGAACTTGACTGCTTCCCTGTACCCCAGACACCTGCAGAGCATTCCTTTCTCTATCACAGTCCCACTGTCATCTTTGTTCAATTCAAAGACCTATTTCTAACCAAACCCATGCCTGGCTGCTACACTTGGTCAACAGAGAAACCCAGCATGGTCTCACAAGATTTTCCTAAAGCACATAAAGGCTTCCCAGGAGCTCAATAGGGAGTTTCTAAGAGCTCGAGCTGCTGAAGGCTCACCAGTTAACACAGTTCCTGTGTTCAGTGTCCACTGCACTCGAGTACAGGGCATGTTGCTACCTGCCCATGGCTTGGGTGCAGATGTGCAACAACTCAGCCTACCACTACTGAGGGTGCCTTACACAGAGATAACCCACACCAAGAACCATTAGGAGGTTGGAAGCACAGCGAGACAGCAGCCACCCTGCCCTGACCCTGCGGGCCTCCGGGAAGGAAGCCCTGCTCTCTGCTTGTAGATAACACTGCCCAAGAACCATCCCATCACTCAGGTCTGAACAAGCCCTCATTGCTAAAGGGCGAGAGGACTTCTCTATGCCTGCTCCTCTGTGAGTAAGAACAAGCTGGGAAGCACACAGCCATATGCTGTAGTGGTCCAGGAGGCACCATGAGCCTGAGCAGCATCTTGCCTGCACAGGGGGCTGCAGCAAGAGCATCGATGTAGTCATTAGATGCCAACATACCCCCTCCACTTCAGCACTGGAAATGGTTTCTGCAGAGCCTTCCCCAGCCCCCCTGGGAAGTGCTACTACATTCCTTGCTCCCTCCCTACCATCACAGATGGCCTGCCCAGCACTCCTCCTGGAGAAGCCTTCCCACCTCACCCTTTGTCTTGTCTACACTGCAGAGCAGAAAACAGCTAATGATCCCTGCCCCACTCCCCTGCAGACCTGCAAACAGGAGGGATTTGTGTTACTCCTGCTTTTCCCAAGGGCAAGCCTGCGTGTTTGTGAAGCCCTGCTATCTGTGCTAACCTGGTCACTGGATGTGGTGGGTGATAGCTGCCAGGCTGGTGAGCTCTATGCCAGGGAAGGCCTGTGGTTACCCACATTTGCTCTTCTCCTCCACCCACAACTGCCATTTACTGCACCAAGACCCAGTTGTGTCTAATGCTTGGGCAGCAGCCATCTGCCTTTCAACAGCTCCGACCCTCACCCAAATCAACCCACCACAACCCATGGTCCCCAAAGTCAAGCGGCCACATGTTCCACTCGCAGAGGACCTTCAATGGGTTCAAGGACTCTGCCATGTAGTCCCATCCCTGCATGAAGCATAGGTGCAATAATAATCCTCCCCCCAGCCTTTTTAGGTGAGTTACTGCAATTGGCTTGCTTGTTCTCCTGCACATCCTCTCTCACCCCAGAGGTCTACAGGGAGACACGTGCTCTGCTCCCCAGGCAGGGCGAAAAAGCCTGCAGCAGCATCACTGCTCCCCAGCTAATGGATATCGATCCACAGCCCTGCTGCTGGGCTGGACAGAAAACTCCTCATGAAGCTGAACCAGACAACCATAAGCACTGCAGGCAGCAAAACACCAATGAGTTGGGAAGGAGACTGCTGGTGCTGCTTGGGCACAGCATCAAGTGGGCTGGGAAGCCCAAGGCAACACCTCCCAACTGACCAGCGAGGTGCATTCCTGCTCTCCACTGCATGGTAAGGCTGACTGTACCCCCAGACAGTGACAAGGGACACGACCAACATCATGCAGCCATACCCTGGAGCAATGGGCTAATCCCCGCATCCTTTCCTGGTGCAGCATCACCTCCTGCTCCTGCTGGTAGGCAAGGGGACCATCTGCTGTGTTTCACTGCCATTCCCCAGTGAATTTGTCACATCTGGGGGCTGAAGGACCAGCCGCACTCCTGCAGCAGCAATGCAACTGCATGCACCAACCAGGGGCACTGACACAAAGCATTTGCAGCAAGGAAGGAGCCAGAACTTATTATATATATGATACTATTTGGAAGAGACTATTGGGATCCTGTACATCACCGTGGCAAGCAGCAGCAGATGAATCAGCAGCCAGAAAGGGGCCCAGTACACCATTTCCATTCCAAACCGCTACGACAGCCAAGCACAGGCTCTGAGCAGGCAGGGCTGAGGCTGGCAGAACAATGCCATGTCACCACCAAAACGCTCAAAGTGCAGGAGAAGGAATCTCCTTTACACCCATCAGAACCACAGAAGGCTTAAGGGAAAGCCGTGTGGCATTCCCCAGCACGGTGCTTGGGAAGCAGGCAGCTTTACAGGGTGGGAGACAAACCGGCCAAGAGCGGGGGGATGTTTCTGCATCACCTTCCCTAGACGCAGCCCGCATGCTCTCTGCTACCACCTGGGTGCATTGCAGCTTGGACCATGGCATATGACATCACTAGGCGTTGCTACGGAAATGAGTGCGAGGTCATCAGCCTCCCGCACCAGCGGAGCTGGGGACAGGGAGGACCAGGGCTGATGTGCCCAGCACTGCTGCCCGTGCCCAGCTTCGGGCAGCACAGAGCAGCAAGGGAGAACAAAAGCTCTGCCTTTTGTTTGCCGTGGTGGCAGGAGGCAGCAGCTCTCCCGCTGGGAATCGCTTCCTTACGGAGACCCATAAGCGGCGTTGAGCCTCGGTTACTGCTTCACCAGGGCTAAAAGGGAATAAAACACAGAGATCATCTCCAACACCACCTCTGGTTTAAACACCCAGCAGGCTAGGGCCATTGCCCGGTGGGAATACTGCACCAGGGCTGTGCATCCCAGGCATATCCCTGCTGGCTTTGTCATAGCGGCTGTATTATCCGTAGGAAATGAGCTGTAGGATGTGCTCACACAGCAGGCTTTGCTTGGAAACGAACAGATGCCGTTATCAGAAAACAGTATAAAAGCCATAGCGCAGCAAAGGAATAGCCCCGGCTGGTTTAATATGGTAATATCATTTCCCCATTATCCATATTTCATTCCTGGATAAGCCATCTCCTCCCTCCCCGTGCTCAGGCTGTGACAGTTTTGTCTGCTTTGATCAATGCAAGGTTATTGACAAAATGGTGCAATATGGGCAAACAGAGCTGCACCCGCGGCAGACTGCGACATTCCTAGATCAGCATTCCCTCCCCATCAGGCAGGGAGGACACCCCAGCTCCTCGCAGAGGTTCAGACCTGCCTAAGAAGACAAACATAAAGCACAGTTTTCCCCTTTAAAGCACCCCCTCCCTCCCTCCACCCAGTCTAGCCTCTCTGCAATATGACAAATGCAGAATCTTCTGGAATGACTTGATCCTGCCTCCCACGATTGCTTTGTTTGCAAGATCAGAGATACGGGGCTTTTCTTTTTCCTCCCTTCTCGTATTGTCAAAATGTCAGGATTGAAGGGGAGCCGTGCAGTGTCACAAATCAGATCAGCCCGCTATACGCAGAGTCTTTATTTTAAGAGCGTGAAATGAATACAACATGACTCAATTCATAAATCTCCAACCAAGTGCAGTAAAAATAAAGAGCTTTGACAGCGAAAGGGCTCCCGATCTCCAGGGCCACGAGCACAGCCCAGCCTCACCGACCGCGCACAGGAAAGGGATGCACGGGAGCCGCAGGGAGGTATCTGGGCAGTGGGGAAGAGGTGTGCATGCATCACCCCCCCCTATTCCCCACCCCACAGCCTTGCCCCATTGGGTTTGGCAGCCCCCCAAGTGACCGCTTGGGGGGCGCTGCACCCCTGTGGCCCCCCCCCGTGCTGGCGCAGGGCAGGGAGCAGCAGTGGGGATGGGAGCACACAAGGGATGCGGGAGGCACACAGGGGGGCCTGGTGTGGGGTGAGAGAAGGGATGGGGTAAAGGGGTGATGTGTGGGGCAGGGAGGAGGCTCTAAGGCAGGGGAGAGCATAGGGGGGTCAGAAGGGCAGAGGAGAGGATGTGGGGCGGCACAAGAGGGAACGCATGGGGACTCTAGGGTAGGGGAGAGCTTGCGTGTGGGGCTGCAGGGCAAGGGAAAGGAGGTGCGGGGCTGGGGAGAGGGCTCTAGAGCCGAGCAGAGGATGCGTGGGGGGCTCTAGGGCAGAGGATGGGGATATGGGGAGAACAACGCGTCCCTGGGCAGGGAAACGCCAAGGGATCGGGACACAGGAACCGGTACAGCACAAGGACCGGAGCCGCACGGAGGGACGGCGATGGGGCCCGCACCCCCCCTCCGAGCCCTGCGCCCACCGCGGGGGGCAGCACGGGGAGGGCGAGGAGAGCACGAACCCGCACCAAGGGAGGGGAGAGGGGAGCGGGGAGCGGGAGGGGCAGACCCGGGCCGCGGGACGGCACTCACGTTCTTCATGGCGGCCGCCATGTCGTCGTACCGCTCGGCTTGTTCGGCCAGCCGGGCCTTCTGCACCAGCTGCTCGCGGTCCACCATCTTCGCGGGGCCGGGGGTAGGGCGAGGAGGCTGCGGGCTCCGGGAGGAGGAGGAGGAAGGAGGAGGAGGAAGGATGAGGAAGGGCGGTAACGGGAGGAGGAGGAGGGCGGGCGGCGGCTCCTGGCGCTGCTGCGGCTGAGGCGGCGGCGGCTGCACCCGGTGCTGTGCGCGCGCCGCGGGCCACCACAACCCCCCTGCGCCCGGTCCCGCCCCCCGGGCCCCGCCCCTGCTCCCACAGCCACCGCGCGGGGCACGACGGGAGATGGAGTCCTCAGGGAGGTGACTGGGAATGGGGGTACCCAGCTTAAGGACTACAACTCCCATCGTGCCCCGCGCGGCGCCGCCGCTCCCCTCCCCTTAGGCCGCGCCCCCTTAGGCTCCCCAACCCCGCCCCGCGGGGTCCCGCCGGCCGCTGGTGCTGATTCACCGGGAGCGGCCGCGGGGACGGGGATGGGAGCAGGGGGGTCCCCCGGGGGGGGGGGGGGGCTGCGCTCGGCGGGACCCACGGCCCGCACCGGGCACACGGGGCCGGACCCACTGAGAGCAGGCACCCGGGGACAGGCCCCGTGGTGGTGCTGGGGCAAAGCGTGGTCCCTCTGTCCCCCTCCCCATGCCGTGGGGCTCAGTGGGGCTCCGCAGCCGACCCACTGCAGGGCAACGCGGACGGGTGGCCGGGCTGGGAGCGTGGTGCGCTCCTCATCAGTGACACGTGAAATAGAAGCTGTGCGTTTGGAGCCATGAGAAACCCCCTTCGAAAAAGCCTGTGGATAAAGCAGTGCTGAGAGAGGATGCTGGGAGGAAGGAGAGGGGTTTAATGAAGGGAGCCGGGCTGATCCCAGTGGAAAGGCATTATCCCGGTTGGAGGGAGCCGGGTAGTGCTGATGGGTGGCTGTGCATGGGCAAGCATAGTCCTGCCTCTCGCACACCCTGGTGTCACTGTCCCCATGCAGGTGCTCTGGGAGGTGTGATGATGACCTTGGAGGACACATCCATCCCACCTGTGATTCCCATCCTGAATCCCCCAGGAAACCTCAGTGGCATTGGGATGTGCCAGTTTCCATAGAGCAACCCCATGGCCAGAGCCTGCTCTGGCTGTTCTGCCCCGTGGCCATGGTCTCACCCATGAGTTTGGTGACAAACTGGTTTGGGAATGCTGATAGTGATGCTTTATTGAGCAGCATCGTTTTGGGACGAGATCCCCCTCTTTATTGTGGTTTTAGTTCCTCTTTATAAGTAGCAGAGAATGGGGTTGAATGGGTTTGTTTAACACAAAATACTTCTTTGTTTGCAGCTTCCGAGAGCAGCAGAACTCCCTGATAAATGAAACCAGAGCCCAGACCCTCTCCATTTCCTCTCTAGAGCCAACTGCTGTCTCCTTGCTCACATCCCCAGCCTCACGCCCCGCAGCGCATGTGGGCCTGGTGTGAGAGCAGTCTTTGTGCCCGGCTTCTGTTTACCACCACAGCAATCCCAGGAGCGTGCCCATGGACAAGAGCAGTTTATGCCTCTCTGCTGGTAATGGCACATTCATCCTTCTGAGGAGGCCCAGCATCGTCTCGGAGAGCTCAGCAGTGGGGTTTATGCTGTTCCCTGTGTGACGCCGGCTTTGGAGGGAGAATCTGAGTTCCAAAGGGAAGAATGCAAAGGAGTTATGGGTCTCAAACTGGTTTTTCAGCTGTTTGCTGCCATTTCTTATCAATAACATGGAGGTATCCAGAGATGTTGCAGGGCATCGCCCAAGCCAAGCAGGATCATTGGATCTGTCCTACAAGAACTTAGGAGAGGCTTTGGACAGGGTCCTGTAGGGACAGGACAAGGGGAATGGCTTTAACCTGCCAGAGGGGAGATTGGAACTGGATGAGCTTTACACTCCCTCCAACACAAACCATTCCATGAGCCCATGATTCTGTGGCCTCTACGTATGGACCAGAGTGGAGCTGCCTGCTCATCCCAGACACCTTTGGAGTGATGCTGCTACATTGGGGTTGGATAGATGGGTACAGTTCCTGGATGCTCATGGACCATGGCTAACGCAAGCCAGGACCTGAAGAAGTGGAAGCTCCTCTGATTTCTCCAGATATACCAACTTTCCTAATAAAAAGCTATTGCTTTTCCATACAAACCTCGGAATTTGCATCAATACAGCACATTCCCAACTGGTCCAAATTTACTCTTTATTTGCCCCAGACTGAGCAAATCCTGATTTATTCCTGTCAAAGCACCACAGCAATAAATACATCTCACAAGGCAGATGATTTCCCTCCCCACCACAGGCCAGAACATGATGTTCATTAATGCTGTAAATTCTCAGGAATGGCTCTAATATTTATCCATGCTTTATCCATTCCCTTTTTGGGCTCCAGTGTCATAAATCAGCCCCCCTCACACTGCTTCATTCTCCTGATTTACAGGCTGGGGAGCAACGGGATGAAGTTTAGGTGGTGAATGGCCCCTAGGATGTGCTGCACATGCAGCTGGAGGTATCATATGGATGCCCATCACTAAATGCCCTTCTCCCACCTCTGGCTGGTGCCTGCAGACACCCATCAGTGATAGCCCAGGCGCTGCTGGGTTGGGAATCACAAGGATCCCAACAGGATTCTGCCTGTTCTGCAGATGTCCCAGAAAAACCCAATCACCCTGATTCCACCTCTGGTATTAAAAATACTCCGGCACATTCGGATGTGCCACTTTGTCAATTCCCACGGCCGGGAAGACGAGTCCTTCTCTTCACATTCCCATCCCTTCCTCCCCATTACGCCTTGTCAGTGCCTTGTGATGCTGCTCTGGAAGGCAGGAAGTTCTCTTTCACTCGGCTTCGCTGCTGCCTGCTCCAAAAGCAGATCCAGGATTCCTCACCCGTCGCTTGCTGCCGTGGGTCCCTGCTGTGTGCAGGATTTGGGCTTTTGGTTGGTGGAGAACAAGCTGAGGAATCATCTGGCGTCAGTGACCCCTTCCCATGGGACAACGGTACCCTTGTGTCCTCCCTCTTTGACACATGCTGGGCCAGGATACGTGGTCCCAGCATCTCAGCATCCCAACACCTCAGCACCCTGGACCTTTTTCCACCTGGCCATGGCAAGGGAAGCATCCCAGGAGCAGGCCCAGGGCATCCCTCCCTCCCTGCCTCACAGCAGCACTCCCCAGCCTGCCATGAGGCTCCATCCCAGCATCTCCTCCCCGTGCCAGGCACTGGGAAGGACCCCACAACCATTGAGTGAGCTTGGACCCTCCCCATAGCACCCCAGAGCCTGGATGCTGCCTCCTGGGTGGGAGGTGATGGATGAGCCCACCAGAAGGACCATGCTTTGAGGAGGAACCTCCTTCCCCCCGTATGTGGAGCTGCAGTGCTTTGTGCCCAGCCCTGGCCCTTCATTTGGCTTTCAAAGCACCTCCCAACCCAGATTAATTCTGCTGCACCAGCTCCTCCTGCCCAGCACCAGCCCTGACACCAAGCGGGGCTGCCCGTACCCTCAGGGTACCACACCTGGGCTCATAGGGATGATGATCCCTGCGACCACATCAAGCCACCAAGACGGGATATGAGAGCAGCACCCAGTGCTTCCCACCCTCCTTTTACCCCTAACACCCTCCCCTTATCCCTAATACCCACACAAGCACCATGGTGATGAGGGCTGCAGCGGTGTCCATGCCACAGCACGCTCCATGTGGACCCCCCCCCCCTTAGCCTTTCTCCCATGGGAAGATGCTCCCATGCAGGATGCGTATCCCTGCGGTGCCCACACTGCCAGCACTCACTGGGTGCTGGTGGGGACCTGGGGTGCAGAACCCCCCCCCCATGAACCCATCTGGAAGGTGGGCACCACGCATCCCCGCAGGGCATTAATAATTAAGCAGGCACCGGGCTGGGATGGCAGCTCTTATTTAAGGAGCTGATATAAATACCGCCCAGACAGCATTTATGGAGCACCTAAAATAAGCCCTGCCTGTCTCGATGCCTCCAGAAGCAGCTCCGCGCTCACCAGTATCCTGCGGGATGGGGATGGGGCAGCTCCATGCTCTGAGTGCGGGAGGTGGCAGCGTGTGGGGCCGATCCTATGGGCACTGCCTCAGTTTCCCTCCACAGCAGGGACCTGCCCCAACCCTTTGTGCTGTGCGGCGGGGGGTTGGTGGGGATGTGGGATGCTCAGCCCCATTGGTGACACTGGGTGGCAGCTATGGGGGTCTCTGTCAATCCACCCCCCCCCAGCGCTATGTTCCAGCAGTGCCAAGTGTTCTGTCCCCCCAGTCGTGTCTACATGGGGGGACACTGGGGTTGGGGACACATCCTCCAAGGACAGCTCAGTCCTCTCCTTTCCCTGCCCTGGCACCCTTGAGCTGCCCCATCCCTATTAAAGGGGCTGCAGAGGTTCAATAAAGGCTGGGAGCAGGGAGACAGCGAGACCTTGGGGACCCCCCCATCCAGAGCATCACCCCCCCTCCCTGCATCAGCATCCTGCCCCCCCGGCGCAGGCAAGGGGCGGGCAGGAGGGCCGGGGCTGTCACAGCGTCCCCATTGCAGGCGGGCGGCAGCTTGCTGCAGTCCTGCTCTGCAGCGTGACTCAGCACAGCCTCGCAGCTCCCAGCCCCACCGACCCCTGCTCCAGCGCCGGGAGGCGGGGGGGTTGAACCACACCACACGCTCCCCACCCCGGCACTGCCTTCCCACGGTCCCTGTCACCCCAAAGCCATCCCCCGGACCCCCGTGCCCACCCAGCCCCATCCATCCCCACACCAGGACCAGCGGGTCCAGCCCCAGTGCAGGTGGGACCCCCCCCGACTTCCAGGGTCAAGTTGGGGCTCAAAGTGATGGGGAGACACGAGGGTCTCTGCTCTGCTTATCCCATCCCGCCGGCTGCATCCAGCCCCACGGGTCTCCTTGCCCAAAGCCTCAGGGTCTGGGGAGCTGAGCACTGATTTGTGCTATGGCTCCTCTCCAGGCGCTGGGAATGAGGATTTGGGTTGTTTTCCTGAGGGATGGGACTGAAAGAGATGCCGGGGTCACACAGGGAAGTGTCAGGATTTGAAAAGTGTTTTTTTAGCTCCACTTTCGGGGTGTTTGAAGTCTGCCAGCATCAGCTTCTTGCTGCATTTCTGTGCATGTCCCCTTTGGCCATGACCTGAAGGTTACTGGGAGGGAGATAGCAGCCAGCACTGGGGAAGGAGGAGGGCTGTCCCCTCTAACTGTCCCCTCTAACTGTCCCTATGTCCCCAGGCACAAAGGCACATTCAGAGGAGGACCCCCCTCTCTGCTTGTGCTGTGCCCTTTGTCCCTTTGCGATGACAGCAGCACATGGCACATCCCCATCGCTGGGACAGGGAACAACGGGTCTATGGGTGCTGCGCATCCGGGAGCACCCGGTGGCACCCCAGTGGCTGCATCCGGGATGATGCAGGCTGGATGAACCCAAAGGCAGCGTACCCAGGACCCCCGCTCCCAGCCCCTCGCCCGTGGCACCCCATGGGAAGCGCGCTGCCCGCATCGCTGCCAGATAATTGCTTCTCTGCCTGTCTCTAAACGCAGGAGGCGGCTTTTGCCAGCTCTCAGCAGCACGCGTGGGGCAGCGAAACGCAATTAACGGGAGAGCCGGCGGTGATGGATGGGTGGATGGATGGATGGATGGATGGATGGATGGAGCAGGATCTGCAGCCGGAGCCGGTTACCCCGCTGCCCGCGGGCCGTGGCCGCGCAGCCCCGGGCACGGCGCTCGCTGGTGATGGAGCGCAGCGGTCCCCGCGGTCCCGTTGCCAGCGGGATAACTGCGCTAGTGACTTTGCAGATCCCAAAATAGCGCCTGGCTCCGGCGGTGACGTCAGCGGGAGGCAGGAGCTGGGAAGGAGGACACTGCTCCGGCGTGGGGTGCAATGAGCGGCTCCGGCGCCCCAATGTGGTGTGACCTTGGCACCCCAAGGGACTTGATCTGTCGCAGGGATGCTGCAGCGGGACTTGGTCCTCATCCATCCCATCGGAGGGGGATGTGGTCCAGGCTGTCCCTGCCCTGCATCCCTGGGTGGGTGCCTACATCCCCAGGACCTCCCCATTGCAGTGGATGGGGCAGGCTGTAGCCAGTGAGGGTTAATCAGCCCCCTGGTACGCCCCCCACCCCAAGCATGCCCCCAGGCAGGGCTGCTGCATCCCTGCGGCTCCCTAAGGGTGCCATGGGCTGAGCCAGGGCCACCATTCCCGGTGTCCCCGGGGAAACTGAGGCACTTGGGTGATGCAGAGGCAGCAGGGAGAGCAGGGGGGACACAGAGAGCCCAAGGTCACCCGGATGATGCTGGGCACAGCACTGCCAGGGATGCTCCCCGGGCCAGGGCTGCCTATGGCACTGACTCACCCTGCACCAGTGCCCAGCTCCTCCGGTTACAGTGCAGATGGGATTGCCTTAATGGGGCACGGTGGGTCTATGGGGCTGATCCAGCCGGGGGGGGGGGGGGGTAGGGGCACCCCTGGCACCAGGCACTGACCCACGGGCCCCTCCAGCCATCCCCACACTCTGCAGCTCCCCTCACATGCAGTGCATCCTCCATACCCCATCCCAGCACATCTTGTACCGGTCTCGTACTGGTCCTATGGGACTAAAACTAGGAGACCCCCATCCCTCCCAGCACAGAATTGGGGGGGGTTAACCACAAACACCCATTTGCCTGCCCCAATTCTGCAGAGCTCCAGAGCCCCACACAAGTGCTCAGCCAGAGGCCTGGCTTATTATACTGTAATGTGGCACAATAATTAAACCCTCCTCCATTTCCCCTTGCTCATTTGTGCTCCTTCAGCCTGGATTAATGGGTCTTCTCTCCCCAGCACAGACTCATTCCTTATCCCTAATAGCCCATAAATCCCGGCCCCAAAATAACCCCAGCTTTTGCCTGGACCTCCTGAAATATTCATTCTCTCCCCCCCCTGCCATCCCCTGCCCAGCCCCTCTCCAGGGACAGGAGAGGAACTAATCGATGGCATTGACTGCTGTGGAGCTGCAGCTGCTCCAGGCACGGCAAACAGCTGACGTCGGCAAGAGGATAAGAGCTGGGCAGGCACCAGGCTTCTCCCGGCTCCCACGCAGCCGCTGCGGCCTGGCTGTGATCCCACAGGATGCCCCTGCTCCACCAGCATCCCTGTCTGCTGGTATCCTGCTCAAGGGATGCAGCATCCCCCATGCTGGTACCCTGCCCCAGGGATGGAGCATCCCCCATGCTGGTACCCTGCCCCAGGGATGGAGCATCCCCGTGCTGGTACCCTGGCCCGGGGATGGAGCATCCCCGTGCTGGTCCTGCCAGGGATGAGCATCCCCTGCTGGTCCCTGGGATGAAGCATCCCCCATGCTGGTACCCTGCCCCAGGGATGCAGCATCCCTCGTGCTGGTACCCTGCTCCAAGGATGGAGCATCCCACATGCTGGTGCCTCGCTCAAGGGATGCAGCATCCCCCGTGCTGGTTCCCTGCTCCCACCCTGCCTGTCACACCCGTGCTCCTACGGAGATGATGCCCAGCTTGCTCATGGGGTGCCCTGGGGGATCCCTGTGAATCCCAGCGTATCCCGATCTGGCTGCAGGGAGAAAAGGCTGTAAAGCAAGGGAGGAGGCGCTGTGTCTTCCGGCTGAAACCCTTTACTTGCCGGATTACAGGCTGTGGAAGGGATAACCCTGGGGAGAACAGGACCTGCTCTTTGCCCGGAGCAAAGAGGAGCAAGGTGGGATAACACCAAAACCCAGCCCGGCTTTGCCTGCTCATGGCACAGTCCCTGGAGAAAACAGGGAAACGCTGCCGAGGACCGCTCCATCCCACTCCTGCTCCCAGCAGGATCCAGGCATTGCCCATCTGGCTGGAGGCAGGAGGCGAGGCAGGGGATGGTGGTGGCAGCAGGGGGGAGAGGAGGCAGCCGAGCATGCGGGACCTGGGGGGCACAGTAAATGGAGGGGGTTTATTCACACTCCACTTCCCTGCCCTCCCCCAGGGTCCCAGCAAGTCCATGTCCAATTCCACCAGCACGGTGTGCCTGGAAGGTGCTTCCGTGCCTCAGTTTCCCCACTGGAGTGGGAGCAAGGTGCTCGGAGAGCCCAGAGCATGGGAAGCGGTGGAGAGACACCCAGCATCAGCGTGACGCCACAGCCACACCATGATGTGTGATGCCCAATTGGGCTGCAGAAAAGCATCCCCAAATCATGGAACCCTGTATCCTGGTCCCAGCCTCTCCCCGCAGGCAGGAACAGGCAGGAGAAGGGCCTGCAGCTCCCAGGACAATCTCTTCCCACCCACTCCTTGGTTGTTAGCAAGCAGCACTGGAGTTACTGACATCAGCACTGCAGAGCCTGTATGGCAGCACAACAACAATGCACCCACTTCAGCTCCATGGGGCTGCCAAATCCCAATGGGAACAATCCCGAATCTGGACCCAACCTCACCCCCATAAGCCTGGTGGGGGTCAGGGCTGTCTGCCGGGAGCTGGGGTGGGGAAGGGTCCAAGCTCAGCTCCCAGTTAGGTGGGAATTGAGGGATGCTCAGGGGGCATCAAGGGGTTTGCACCAATATTGGGCAGCAGTAACTGAGCCCTCACCTCTGGGCTTGGGGCATCGCCTGTTCCCAGCCCAGGGAATGGCAGGGAAGTGAGAAGTGGTGAATGCCCCATCCCTGGCAGTGCTCAAGGCCAGGGTGGACAGAGGGGCATGGAGCAAGCTGCTCTAGTGGAAGGGGTCCCTGTCCATGGCAGGGGTTGGAACTGGATGAGCTTTATGGTCCCATTCCATGATTCCATGACTCAGCACACTTTCAAAGGTCTTTTATTTATTCACAAAAGAATCCCAAACACAGATAAGAAAAATAATGGGGAAGAAAAAAAACCCCAAAACAAGGCAGGGATGTGCACGATCTCTTATTGACAAAAGGATCACACAACCAGAGGAGCCAGCACGGCAGAGGGAGCAGCTGGGATCCGCTCCCTGCCTCTGCATGAGGCATTCCCACCCTCGCACCCCATCCATGGAATCAGGAAGGTCATTTTGCTGGTGTCCATCAGACATCACACGCAGTGATGGGGCTGCAGGATGGGTCCTTCCACCTGAGCTGGGAGGGATACAGCCCTTACCACAAAGGTGTGATGCTGGGGAAGGGGCTGGGTTCAGCATCCTTGTGCTGGGAGGGGATTTAGGGTTTTCCCTATGGGTTTTCATCATAGGAAAATGAGGCAGAGACTGGCTGTGCTGAAGGGAAATCTCAGCAGAAGAAATAGGAGGTGGAATGGGCACGAGGGAGAAATATTGGGCAGCAGCAAAGCGGGATGGGGTTGCAGATGGTGCGAGATCCAGCCCCTGCATCACTGCTGCAAGGAAATTGGTGAGGATTTGGTATTTCTTCTGCCAAAAGGAGAACAAAAACCTGGTATTTGCATTGCTGGGGCTTGCAAAGGAAATTGCAGCAGTGCAATGACTTCTTGCAGAGGCACTGGAATGTACTAGTTTGGTTTCAGCCCCCTTTATACATTGTCCGAGCGTAATGTAATGTCTTTTTCCCAGCTGAAAATCCATTTTCCTCATCTCTTAAACGAAATGGCTGAAACCAACCAGATTTCACACCAAAATGCATTTGTTTTCCCAATTGGCAGCTTGGGGCGGGGGGAAGCTGCAGCCAGTGTTTTAGGAGCTGAGGAAACCTCAGCTGGAGAGGGGCTCCTCATTAGGGGCTGTAGGGATAGGACAAGGGGTGATGGGTTCAGACTGAAACAGGGGAAGTTCAGATTGGATATAAGGCAGAAGCTCTTCCCTGTGAGGGTGCTGAGGCGCTGGCACAGGGTGCCCAGAGAAGCTGTGGCTGCCCCATCCCTGGCAGTGTTCAAGGCCAGGTTGGACACAGGGGCTTGGAGCAAGCTGCTCTAGTGGAAGGGGTCCCTGCCTATGGCAGAGGGTTGGAACTGGATGCTCTTAAGGCCCTTTCCATCCCAAACCATTCTGTGGTTTATAAAACCCAATCTTCACCCAGCTCTCCCCATCCCCAAAGAGTCCCCAGCCAGCGTTCCTGTGGGGAAACTGAGTCATCCAGCGAGTGCCCCCATCCAGCACCCCCTTTGTGCGCATCACCCCCTCCACCATCCCCATCCCCGCTCACCTCCGTGCTGCTCCCGCTCACCGGATGCTGCAGGCAGCACCGGCATCCTCGGAGTGGTCGCAGTTGTGGACGTCCCAGCGGATGTGCGAGCAGCGCAGCAGCGAGGCCTCGTGCCCCTTGCACTTGAGGTTGTCGAGGAAGATGTACCCGGTGCCCTGCCCGTACCGCGCCTCGCCCCAGGCCGCCACGGCGCTCCCGCAGCCCAGCTGCCGGCACACGACCCCGGCGTCGCGCAGGTCCCAGGCGTCGTCGCACACCGTGCCCCACTGCGAGAGCAGGAACAGCTCCACGCGCCCCTCGCACCGGTGGCTGCCGTTCACCAGGCGCAGGGACCCTGCGGAGGGGATGGGTGAGGGATGAGGAGGAGCCTGTCTGCGGTCACCATCACCCCTGGGGCAGTGGTACCCGCCGGGATGGGTGCGCAGGGGGGATGGAGAATGGGCCGGTTGGTCCCAAGGCAAGAAGAGCCCTGGTCTCTGGATGATCAGTGGGTGTTTGCTGCTGCACACAGTCCCCACACTGCTTCTGCACAGGCAGGAGCACAAGGGGGTGAGCTGGGGCTGACCCACAGTGCATCAAGGTGGATGTTCAAGTTAAATGAACAGACAATCTCTGTTCAGCTCAGACCCCTTGGTCCATTCCCTCCTCTCTGCACCAAGCTCCATCACCTCCTCTCCCCATCAAGCTCCATCACCTTCTCTCCCCATCAAGCTCCATCACCATCTCTCCCCATCAAGCTCCATCACCTTCTCTCCCCATCAGGCTCCATCACTGTCTCTTCCCATCAAGCTCCATCACCTTCTCTCCCCATCAAGCTCCAACACCGTCTCTCCCCATCAAGCTCCATCACCTTCTCTCCCCATCAAGCTCCATCACTGTCTCTCCCCATCAAGCTCCATCACCTTCTCTCCCCATCAAGCTCCATCACCGTCTCTCCCCATCAAGCTCCATCACCTCCTCTCCCCATCAAGCTCCATCACCTTCTCTCCCCATCAAGCTCCATCACCTTCTCTCCCCATCAAGCTCCATCACCGTCTCTCCCCATCAAGCTCCATCACCATCTCTCCCCATCAAGCTCCATCACCTTCTCTCCCTATCAAGCTCCATCACCTCCTCTCCCCATCAAGCTCCATCACCATCTCCCCCCATCAAGCTCCATCACCATCTCTCCCCATCAAGCTCCAACACCGTCTCTCCCCATCAAGCTCCATCACCTCCTCTCCCTATCAAGCTCCATCACCTCCTCTCCCTATCAAGCTCCATCACCTTCTCTCCCCATCAAGCTCCATCACCATCTCTCCCCATCAAGCTCCATCACCATCTCTCCCTATCAAACTCCATCACCTCCTCTCCCCATCAAGCTCCATCACTTCCTCTCCCCACCATCACTTAATGGTCCATCACCTGATGTCTATCACCTCCCCTGCCTGGACCATCCTTAGAGGCACCAGGAGAAGCCACAGCTTAATGGTCCCACCATTCTTTTCCCCCTTCCCATGGGCTGCTCAATGTCAATGCTTCAGGCTTCTCTGTCCAAACCACCTCTGTTTCCATCCTGTGCTGGTGCAGAGCATCCCCAGGTGATACCTCAGTACCTACCATCCTTGGGACGAGTTGAGGTCAGCATGGTGGTTGTAGTGGTGGCTTCTTGGGAATGGTCTCCAGCATCATCAGGATCTGGTGCAGTGGAGAAGGGGGGGGGGGGGAGTGACTCAGGGGATGCCTGTGCCCCCCCTGGTCCAGGTCAGGGCCCCCCAGAAGCAGCATGGGGTGTCTGGGTATGGATGCAGGGATGTGTGGAGTGGGATGGGCAGCCACCACACTTCCAGGATGCAAACAGGGAGCAGAGGTGGTACCCATGCTCCAGCCACCACTGAGCACCACAGCATCCAACCACTGTGGGCAGAAGCAGCCCAATGGTCTGGGGCTCACATTCACCTAGAACCCCATTTTGCAAACCCTATTTCCGCCAGCCAGCCTGAGCATCAGAGGCTGTAGGGAGACCAAAATCCTCCCTGCACCCATTATCCCTTTGGATTTCCATGCTACCAAGCAGACACCTGGATAGTTGCACCCATCCCACTTCTCCCACCCAATTGGCAAGGCAAGAACCATAGACTCATAGAATGGTTTGGGTTAGAAAGGACCTTAAGATTACCCACTCCTAATCCCCTGATACGGGCAGGGACACTTTCCACTGGAGCAGCTTGCTCCAAACCCCATCCAATGATGGAGCATTCACCCCTTCTTCGTGCACCAGCGCCTCACCACCCTCACAGGGAAGAACCTAAGGAAGAAACTTCTTAAGGAAGAACTTAAGGAAGTTCAGTTCCATCCTAACCCCCCCCGTGTTCCGGCCTGAACCCATCCCCTTGTCCTTCCCCTGCATCCCATCCCAGGAGCCCTCCTCCATCACCCCCTCACCCTGACAGATGACTCCGGCATCCTCATGGTGCCCGCAGTTGTGCTGCCCCCAGCCCAGGTGGAAGCAGTCCTGGAGCCTCTCCTCTCCGCCGCCGCAGCCCACATTGTCCAGCAGCACGGGCCCGCTGCCGTACCCGAAGGAGCCGAGCACGGTGGCGGCGAGCGCGGGGCCGCAGCCCAGCTGCCTGCACACCACGGCCGCGTCCGGGAAGTCCCAGTCGTCGTCGCACACCGTGCCCCATGTGCCGCGGTGCCGCACCTCCACCCGCCCGCGGCAGCTCCCGTTCCCGCTCGACAGACGCACCCCGGTGCCTTGCGGGGAACGGGGGGGGGGTCTGAGATGGGTGCCGTGGTGGCGATGGGGGTATGGGGTGGGTTGGGGGGGGCGGTTATGGGGTGAGCCTTTGGGTTATGGGGTAATCGCTGGGGATACGCGGGAGCAACACCCTGGGGCATGAGCCCTGGGGATGTGGGGTGAGGTAGCAGGGAGTGTGGGGTGAGGATTGGGGATGAGGGGTGAGCTATGGGGAAATATGGCGAGATGGAGGGAGCCCTGGGGATGTGGAGGTGAGCCTTTACAGGCATGGAGTGAGCCCTTGGGGAGCATGGGGTGAGTCCTGGAGGTGTGGGGTGAGCCCTTGGGGAGTATGGGGTGAGTCCTGGAGGTGTGGGGTGAGCCCTTGGGGAGCATGGGGTGAGTACTGAAGGTGTGGGGTGAGCCCTTGGGGAGCATGGGGTGAGTCCTGGAGGTGTAGAGTAAGCATGGGTGAGCCCCCAGGGGGAGTCCCAGGAATGTGGGGTGACCCTGAGGAGAGGGGGTGACTCCCAAGCAGCCCAGGGTGAACACTGTGAGCATGGGGTGATCCCTGAAGATGTGGGGTGAACCCTTGCAGGGCAGGGGGTGAGCTCCCTGGGAGCATGGGGTGAGCCCTGGGATGCGGGGTGAGCCCCTGGGGATGCTGTGGACAAGGATGCTGTGGACAAGGATGCTGTGGGCAAGGATGCTGTGGACAAGGATGCTGTGCAGTACCAGCAGTGGCCGCGCACTCACTTTCCGGCTCGATGGTGAGGAGAGCGGTGCTGAGCACCTCGGTGGCCTCGGAGGGCTGGTCCCTGCTCTCTGTCACTGCTGGGACAAGCACGGGCACAGGTGGGTGCTGAGCGGGTCCAGACCCAGCACCCACTGCCCCTCTGCTTTGGTGCCAATGGCCTCTATCACCGCAACAGCTCCATGGCAAGCTCCTGCCATGGTCAGTGTCACCCCGCAGCTCTCCTGCATGCAGCAGGACCCAGGGTGACTGTGCTGGGTCACAGGAGGACATGGGAGACACAGTCCCCCCTCCAGCAAGCCCCTGGCTATGGCCCAAGGATGAGCAGGGTGGCTGTCTCCTACCTGTGACCGTAGCAGTGAACGTCTCCTCATAGTCCAGGGTCCCCGAGGTGGTGAAGGACGTGATGGTGGACGTGTCCAGCCCTGCGGTGACAAAGGGACAGAGGTGACACATGGGGAGAAGCTGCAAAGCCATGAACCTGCTGACTCCATGAGGCAGACCTGGAGTCTGGGTGCTCCAGGGTGATGGGGATGGAGAAGGGCTGTGTCCATCACCACATCCCTGCTGCCCAAGTGCTGGAGATGGTGCTTCTCCCCCTACCCCATCTCAAGTGCTGAGGTCCCACATGCAGCACGGATGGGCCCCTTGCTTCTCCTGTGGGGTTTATGAGGTTTGATGGCTTGGCTCCCCCCTGTCCCACTGTTAAAGGGCTGTGCACGGTGGTGCCATTGGGTCCGTGCGCATGGGATGGGGATGTTTAGGGAGGGAAGGACCAGCCTGATTTCTCCTGCATCAGCCCATTTGTCACTTAATAGTGGGAAAGGGAAATTCAGGGGCATTACTGCCATTATAAGGGGTAATCAGCAGGGAATGGCAGGAGTACATCACTCAGGGCAGGAAGGGGAGGCAGCTGGGCCCGGTGCCCAGCTCCTTCCGGATGCTGTCGGCTTGTTTCCCAGCCCAGCAGATGCATTTCCATTGCAAACCACAGCTCGGGCTGTGTTCCAGGATCCGGAGCACTGGGAGGATGGCAGGTAAGGAGAAAGGATGCAAGGATGCTCCTGCACACAGCGCCCAGATCCCTGCCTGACCTTGGGCATGTCAGCATCCACCTGAGGCCATTTCCCCTTGGAGACAGCGACATCCTTGGATTCCCACCCTGATAGCGATGCCCTGCCCTGGTACCTGCACAGATGACCCCAGCATCCTCGTGGTGTCCGCAGTTATGGATGCCCCATCCGAGGCTGTAGCAGGCAGACAGGAAGGGCTCGCTGCCGTCGCAGTTGACGTTGTCCAGCAGGATGAGCCCCGTGCCATAGCCGAAATAGGCATTGCTCTTGTAATCCAGGGCTTGGCCACATCCCAGCTGCTTGCAGACCACGCTGGCATCGCTCAGGCCCCAGTCATCGTCACACACGGTGCCCCAGCTCCCGCGGTAGAAGATCTCCACCCGGCCCTGGCAGGAGTCGGTCCCGCTCACCAGGCGGATGCTGCCGTCCCCTGCAGGGGGGGGAACAGGGTGAGAAGGACTTTTCCTTCCCCAGGGTGTCCCCACACAGCGATGCCACCGAGCCTGCATCCCGCACTGCCCGTGGTGCCAAGGGTGAGAAACAGCGGGGAAGGGGGGATGCTTTGGGGCAGCACCACTGATGGGTACATCCGGGATAGGGTTTGGCTATGGGCAGCGTTAGGACAGGGTTCCTGGGGATCTGCCCCTTGGAGCCAGAGTGCTGGGGTGCTTCATGGAGGGGCAGTGGGTGATGGGGGCAAGGGGGAAGGTGATGGATGCTGTTCTCTCCCAGCCCCTGTAAGTGAAGCCAAGCAGCTTACTTTCCCCATCCTGCACTGAGGCTGTGAGGGTCCTGCTTGTTGGTCCTTCGCTGGCTTGTGTGGGTGACAGCTCTGCAAAGGGAAGCAGAGAGGTGGCATCCATCCCACAGGGATCCGTCCAGCAGCCCCGTGTGCTGGCTTTCCCTCCATGGAAAGCAAGAGGGTTTGCACCAAACCAGCCCCAATGGGGAAAGAACGATGGGTTTGCAGCTGCACTGCCCTGCCCGGTGCTATCTGCCCCATGGTAGGTGCAGGAAGGTGGATGGATGGAGCCAGGACCTTGGCTGCTGGCACAGTGGGAAGCTGTGGCATTGGGGTCACACTCAGCTGTGAGGAGTCAGCATCCCACCCAGCATGGGATTTGGATCCGAAATCATGGCATATATATGTAAAAACCAGTAATACCTCGATTTTCCTGCTGGTTTTACCTCTATTTCTTTTGCTAACAATGTTGGTTCAAGCCATCATGTCCCATCTCCTCATGCTGGGTTTATTGGGGTGCTCTGACAAGCAGCCACTCTCATGCCAAGGGTTGTGGGAAGCATCCTGGGAAGTGCTTCACTGACATGGAGAAGAGGTTCCCGACCCCATGTTTCCCTCTGTAACCACAACCAACAGAGCCAAGCTGGCTCTTGAAAGCTTCTACACAGAGGAATCACCTTTCCTGGGGTCTGGTGCTTGGGTGGACTCCTGCATCTCCTCTCAGGAGAGGAGCATCTCCTGGTCTCCATCACCCACCAAGCTACAAACACCCAAGGGCTCAAGCTGCTTCTCTGCCCTCAGACCCATCTCCTCCTCCTCCAATCCTTCTCCCTCCTGTCTCCAGCAGTGCCTTGGTGCAGGGCTCCTGCTCAGTTCACAGCCTCCTCTCCCTGGTTGCCAACCCAGCATTCCAGCCCTTTCCAAGCCCTGCTTCTGCGGGATGCAGGGATGCACTGAGCAGTTGCAGCCGTGGCTGAGCTCCAGGTCTGCACATCCTCATGTTTGCCAGTCATTGATGTGTGGCTGCTGAGCAAACCCTACATAACTCTGCAGGAGGAACACGTTGGGTCTATAGGGGTGGGCACGGAACTGTTCCACTTTCGCTTGCCAACGCTTTCCACCGCTTTTCTCACCTTTAGGAACATTTCCTACTGAAAAGCTCAGCGATTTAAAGCAAGACAAGACAAAAGGGGGAAGCGCAGTCGGGCAGCGGCTGACTCAGAGGCAGGAATGTGGGTCGGCATATGCTCTTTCCCCAGGGATCCTGCTGGAGAGGTTGCAAAGTCCCTGAGCTGGGAGTGATGGGGAGCACAGAACAGGCTGGTCACCTTATGGAGCACCAGCATGCTGAGCCGGGAGGTGACCTGGATGGAGGACAGGGGTGGAGGAAGGATGCAGAGGAGGTTTGGATGACCCAGGGTATAAGACACAGCTCTTGGTCTCCCTCTGCTCTCCTTACCCCCGAGGAACCAAACCTCGTTACCATTGCATACAACAGCCACATCCTCATAGTGATAGCAGTTGTGGATGCCCCATCCATGGCTCCAGCACTCGCTCAAGGCCACCTCCCGGCCCTTGCAGTCCACGTTGTCCAGGAAGATGGGTCCGCTCCCTTGGCCGAAGGCCATGGCAGGAGGGAGGGTGACGGCGCGGCCGCAGCCCAGCTGGCGACACACGACGTTGGCATCCACGAGGTCCCAGTCGTCATCGCACACCGTCCCCCAGGAGCCGTTGTAGAAGATCTCCACTCGGCCCTGGCACCGGCTGGGCCCGTTGGAGAGGCGGATCTCTGCAAGGATGGGCACAAAGAGGCACCCAGGAGGTGCCATGGGGAGGACGTGAGCCCTATTGGCACCAAATCTCTGCTCCTCACATGAGTTGGTGGCTCTTTGCTGTAGCTCAAGGCAGCTGTTGGCTTGGTGCTACCCAATGGCACCATCATGGGTATGGGATCATGGGTATGGGATCATGGGCTTCTCAGACATGAAAACTCAGAGCATCTCAATACATACATGAGAGGCACCATCATCCCATCATCTTGTCTATTAATAGCCTGGGCAATAATCCAGTGGGAGAAGAATCCCATCGTCTTGCCTACTGATAGCCTGGGCAATAACCCAATGGGAGAAGAGGGAAGTGGACATGTGACATCACATATGATGGTGACAAGTGACAAGATGCAATTAGCACATTCTCATTAGCTTCAATGGACCATCCAGGCCTGGTCCTACATGGGAGCTGGTGGGATGCAGATGATCTCTCAAGCTGTGGGTGTATAAGCACCTCTGGCTGGCCACATCCAGGGTATTATTTGCTTGGGCATGACGAATGGCACAGGGAGTCATCAAGAGGTGGAAAAATTCCCCTCTCAGGATAATATGTGGGATAGGGATAATAAAGAATCTCTAATTCCTTTCTGTAAAAGGAGTTCAGCTGCTTGTTGCCACTTTTGGTTCCAAACCAATATGCTTCCTTTTTGAAATCCCCCAAACCCCATTTTTAACCAAAATCCACACTTTTCAACTACAAAACTTCCTGGAGAAGAATGGCTTGAAGAGAAGGATCTCACCTGGGAATGGCAGCAGTGCGGGCTCCGAGCTGGTGCCTGCAAGGGAGAAGGAAAGGGATCAGATCTCCGCAGCATCCTTGCAGTGAGGATGGATGCAGCTCGGGGGGTGACAGCAGCAGGGATGCCGGGCACAGCGGGTGCCTGTCCCCTCATTGGCACCCTTTGGGGTGCTGATGACACCAAGCTCCGAGAGAAGAGGTGCATGGCAGAGGGAGCAGAGAGGAGCATGGACCACAGACATGGCATCCCAGCCTGGCCGGGAACCGGAGCTTGGGTGATGCTGCCAAGGGCTTAGCAAGGGTTTGCTGCAGAAACATCCTCCTGCAGCTGGGAAGGAGCAGAGCGAGGTGGGAGAGGAGGGATTCCTCCGCAGTTATCCCATTAAACAAAACTGGCTTCATGCAAGCCCAGGGATTGCTGCTGGTCTCCTGCAGGCTGGTGCAACCCAGGGGTGTCGGAACATCAGGATGAGGTCTCTCGATCCCAGCTGGCTCTGGAAGGGCAGCTCTATGTCTGCTGCACACAGACAGACCCCCGGTGATTTCTGCCTTGGGGCTCAGCTTCCCAGCCACAGGAGAAGCAGCTGCCCTGGGGCTTCCATTCCTAGTTAATTCTCAGCCCAGTGTCATCAAGCAGCATCTGGAGGGAGCTGAACGCCTGCAGGATGCATCCCCATCCCCATCAGCTGGGCTTAAATAGGGGCTCTGAAAGCGCTCTGCCAGCAGCCCCACACCCAGGGGTACGGATGCTGCCCATTGACAGGTCCAAAGCTCCCCCAGCAACCAGCTCCCCACACCAGCCTGCCCCCTCTCCCATAGGCTGGGTGCTACACGGGCACAAACCCCCTCTCAGCTCCAGGCTGAGTGATGTGGGGTCCCCCTTGGATGCTGCACACAAGAGGCACTGAGGTCTCCAGCTTGTGAAGGGGGTCATGGCAATGGTGCCCTGGGGGACAGTGGATGGGGATGGGTGTTTGGACCTTGTGGATGCCCCTGTCATTGCCCCATAGGGTGCCTCAGGGGTTTGCAAGCTTCAGGATGCTGGAAGGCAGCACAGACCAGCTCCTGCACCCAGAGCACCTCGGGATGAGACTCTGGCTGCACAGATGGATAACAGTGTTCAAGTTAAATCCCTCCACACCAATTATAGCACCCAAGGGGTGATCAACACCCGTGGCAGCTCCGTGGCCTCTTTTCCTACCCCTGGCTTGGAGCAGCCCTGTCCTGCTTCACGCTCAGCCCACGAGCAATGACAGGAAGGTCAATCCCTGCTGCTCCGGAGGAGGATGTCACCACCATGAGAAGCAATGTGATGGTCGAGCGGATGAACCCACCTCCCTTCTGCCTTGCTTAGGACGTTGCCTGGGAGACTATGAAGTCAGCTGCAAAACAGGGCTGTCAGAGAAAGACCTGGAAGCCCCAGGAGAAATGGGAATAAGGCAACTGGCTGCTGTAGCTATGACTTAGACCCCAGGAATAAGGGCTAGGAGTGAGATGCCACCCATAGCTGGACCCAGGCAGGCCGGAGAGAGATGCTGTGATGCCAAGAGAGAAGTAGGGATTAAACAGAAGACCAATGAGGGAGGATGATGAAGGACATACCAGCCCCATAAGCTGGGTAACAGGAGAGAGGTAACTCAGATCCCCCCTGCACGGGAATGTCGCTTTTTAGGGAGGACATACCAGCCCCATAAGCTGGGTAACAGGAGAGAGGTAACTCAGATCCCCCCTGCACGGGAATGTCGCTTTTTAGGGAGAGCTTTTGCTCCTGGGTTGTATTAGTTTTTAGCACTGAGTCCACTCCAGTACTGAGGAAGCAGTGGGGAAAAGGACATTGTTAAATATTCAATATTCATCTCCCTTTAAGTCAATATCAAAGCTCTGAAATACTCATTTGAGAGCATCCTCCAGCAAAGTCACAAGAGACCTGAAGGAGATACTCCTGTTATGTCTGCAGCAATGAGGAATGAGGGGAAAACAGGGGGTTCTGAGAGCAGAGGGAGCCCTCCACGTTCCTCTGATCCAGCTGCACAAGGCCAAAAGGAAAGGGGAAACCATCCCAAGTAAACACCATCCCATTCATATTGCTAAATATAACCACCGCATGCAGGGACAAATCACCCTCTGTTAGTGATTTGCCAGCTTCCCGGCTGGCTTTGTCTTGTGGGGCTCTGCTGAGGCCTGGCTGTAATTACACTGATAGAGTCACACCAGGATAATTACGGTGTTCCAGCACAGGAGTGGCTTTTCCCAATTCCAGCCTGGAAGGACAACGCCTGCCAGGAGGGATTGGGATCAGTGTCCTCAAGGGATGGATGCTCAGCAGGATGCCCTTGCTGCACTTGGCATCACGCATAGGTCATGGTGGGACATAAGAGCTGAACTTGCTCCTTCCATCCCTGTGCACATTCAGTGCCGTTGGGGACATCATGGTATTCCTGCTCCATGAGGAAAATCTCCTCCTGCAAAACTAGGAGGGAAATGGTGGGTACCTAAAGCTACCTATCCCACTGCAGCATGCAGAGGCTCACCACTGGGGCTGAGGAGGAGGAGGAGGAGAAGGAGCAGTGTGGCTGGCATCAGCATCCCAATGTCCAGCATCCCTGTGCCATGCCGGGTGGCCGGACATGGTCCGAGTCTCATTGCTGCACCGTGGTCCTCCTGCAGATGGGTGTCCAGAGGAGGGTGTCCCTGAAACACGCAGACAGCAGTGTTAGTGGTGATGGAGAGCAGAGCCTGTGCCCACAAAGCCCCTCCTCATCACCTACTGAAGCAGTGACCAGGAGTGACAGGTAAAACAACTCAGGTTGGATTGATTGAGAGGGAGAGGTTTTGAGCATCAGGATGAAGATGCAGGGCTACATCCATCCATGAGGCAAAACTGGGAGCAGGGAGAGAGCCTTAGACTGCTGTACCCACTGAAGGATGGACCTCAGACCCGTGATGTTACCAGCAAACCCCATAGCACATACATACCATATATCCCACGCCACACATGGGTAAACTGAGTCACACACTGAATCCAGGCTGAACTGTGAAGGAGCTCCCCAGCCCATCCCAGCCTGGACACAGCCATGGCCAACCCACTGCTTTGTCTTGGCTCTGCTGGTGCTCTTCAGCATCCCAAGGGAAAGAGCAGGGAAAGGCATTTATATGGGAAGACAGAAAGCTCTGGGGTCTGACAGGAGAACCTCATTCACCTGGGGGATGTGAAATCCACAGGGACAAGATGGGAAGCAAACAGGGGAATGTCAGGCAGAAAACGAGGAAGAGATTAAAGATGCCATTTCCTCTTAATTCACTGCTCCCTTCAGGAATCCCTGACGCACTCGTAGCTCGGTTTCACCCTGGGGAGCAGGATGGGGCTGATCCTGCTTTCCGTTACCCCTCTGGGACCGGGATCAGCATCCCAGCGGTCCCAGCATCGCGCTGCCAGCAGCACTGGGACGGCAGCGTGCGCTGGTGGAGCAGTGCCATCGTGAGGATGCTTTCGCACGCTGGCTCTGAAGCCAGGCAGCAAGTCCCAGCTAAGCAGAGCCCTCCTTTAGTCCCTCCAGCCGACACAAGGCACATCTGAAGGGATGGGCACCGGCTGCTGCTGCCTGAAGCATCTACTGATGGTGAGAAACTTGGGAAAGGGCCTTGAAATCTGACGTATTGGTGACCAAAAAGCATCCCTGTGGATGTAAAGCATCCCTCTAGCAGCCTTTTTGCTGCTCCTGGTTTTCCAATGCAGTGGGAAGAGCTCCCATCAAGACCATAGGTTGGGTGTGCTCCAAGCCTTCGGAGCAAGCCTTTGACTTTGCTGTCTGCACCAATGGGAGATGACAGCAGCCCAGTGATGGAGGTGCAGGATGCAGCCATGTGGACGGGGTACATCCCCATCCCACCTCCTTGCTCTCACCACTCGGCTCCTGCTGCGCAAAGAGGTGATCCTGCCCCTCTGCTCTGCTCTTGTAAGACCTCACCTGGAGCATTGTGTGCAGTTCTGGTGTCCTCAGCATAAAAAGGACATGGAACTGTTGGAACAAGTCCAGAGGAGGCCACGAGGATGATCAGGGACTGGAGCACCTCCCATAGGAAGATCGGCTGAGAAAGTTGGGGCTGTTCAGCCTGGAGAAGGCTGCGTGGAGACCTCATAGCAGCCTTCCAGTATCTGAAGGGGGCCTATAGAGATGCTGGGGATGGACTCTTCATTAGGGACTGTAGTGATGGGACAAGGGGTAATGGGTTAAAACTGAAACAGAGGAAGTTTAGATTGGATATAAGGAGGAAATTCTTTCCTGTTAGGGTGGTGAGGCACCGGAATAGGTTGCCCAGGGAGGCTGTGAATGCTCCATCCCTGGCAGTGTTCAAGGCTAGGCTGGACGAGGCCTTGGGTGCCATGGTTTAGTGTGAGGTGTTCCTGCCCTTGGCAGGGGGTTGGAACTGGATGATCTTAAGGTCCTTTCCAACCCTAACTATTCTATGATTCTATGACACCTGCCAGTAGACAGGCAGCTCCGCGATGGGGATGAAAACCAATCCACTCCCTAAGGTGATGCTTTCAATGCTCCATTCATCCCTCTGCCGCTCCGAATAATGTCCCCTTTTGTCCCCCACTGGGCAGGGCTGACAGACGGCCCCGCTGCTGCCCTGCCCCGGCCAAACCCTCGCATCGTGTCCTGCCTGCAGGGACGTTGTCATCCAGGGCCATTCTTGTGCCGGAGCCAGCGCGTTCCTGCTCCCTGGCACGGGGCATTAACCACTGCGGTGCTAGAGCCATGGCTGACCCCAGGCAGGTAAAACCCGACCTCCCCTTCTCCTTTGTGTCTGCTTCTCCATCCTCACCCCAACGCTCGGCTGAAAACTGAACCCATTTCCTTGCACAGACGGGTTTTAGGCACCCTTAAGGATGCCTATAGATGAAAAGCCGCTTTTAAGCCTCAATAAGCCATTGTAGCAAAGCACAGCATCTCTTTTAAAGGGCTGGTAAATGTGAGCTTCTGAAAGTGCCTTCAAACAAGGGTCTTTCAAGCTGTTAGGTAAAGCAAACCCCAACCATGCACCTGATGGAAGAAGCATCAACACCCACATCAGCCCCGACCCCACACTGACCACTGTGTCTGATGCACATCTTACAGGGTAGAGCACAGAAAGTCCCTGATTTCACCCCAAATTACTCCCACACTGTGCCTAACCCCCACCTCCAGCCAGGACATGAGACCCCTCAGGTCCTTTGGTCCCCTTTCATCCCCATGGCCATGGCTGGACATACCCCCTTGCTCTTGAGCTGTCTCTCTTCAATTATCCAACTATAACAACTGAGTCTTTCAGCAGCCCCATCATACCATGATTTGTAATTACCATGCTGACCCATGAAAAAGCATCATAAATCCACATACCTGTTTGGTATTGCCTTCCCAGGATAGCAATGGGAATACTGAATCCCAGAAATCACTGTTCTCTTTTGAAGTAAAGGAAAAAGCTGGCGACTTAGTTAAAAACCTGAACAAATAATTGTTGAAATGAATATTCCCAGGAAGAGGTGATGGGGATGAGGCAGGAATTAATTTTTCTTTAGGCGAGATCTTGTTTAGTAAATTAATTAAAAATAGCTAAAAAAGAAGATAAAAAGCATCTCATCCATCAACTGAACAGCTCCAGCCTGTCATCTCCTTGCATCTTTGGGGTTGCTGCTGGCTGGGTTGCAGCTCTAGGGCAGGACGGCAGCCTTGCATCCCATCCCGGGGCAGAGCACCCCGAAAGCAAGGGAGGAAGGGAGGGAGAAGGAGGGGGAAGAAGAAGAGGAAGAGGAAGGAGAGAGGGAAGACCTCTAAGGAGACATGGCGCGGAGGGAATGGCTCGGGTTTCAGGAAGGCAGGCAGGGACACATCCCAAAATTGGGAGCTGGCAGAGCCTGGGTTACACCTCAGGGGAAGGGAGAAGCTGCTCCACAGGGCTTGGGATTTGCAGCTCCTTCCCACCTCCCTCCTGAATGCCCACCTGGAGAGGGAGCCAGTAATAACCCCCTGGCTGGGAATTGCTGTTGGTACCCGAGCCAGCATTGGGATGCGGAGGGAGGGGATGCTCCCAACCTCCTGCTCATGGGACCTGGGCACTGCTTGTGGGAGTCCTGCTCCTCTTGCATTCCAGTCTTCCCAGACTGTTCCTGGGCAAGAAACTGCCTTCAGAGACTCTTTTTCTACCGAGGATGCTTCCTGCCCAGGCATCCGAGGCTCAGAGACCTTCCCTGTCCTTTCCATCTCATACCCCAGGGCTGGAAAACCTTTCCCATCCACCTCCATCACCTCATCTGCTACACGTTCACATTGTCTCCTTCATCTCTCAACCAGGGCATCTCTATTTTAAAAGGAGGTGTGTGTTTAACCATTTTTAACCATTATGGCCTTTTAACCATCTTAACCATCATTGCAAGTAAAAGCCTTGTTTTGAGAGACTCCTGCCTCTCAGCAGCCTGGAAAGCAATGGATAAAGGACCCCCAAATGCGCTGGGTTTCCCAGTCTTGTGGATTCTTAAGTTCCCCAGCAACTTTAGGAGTCAAACACTTGTATTAGGGTCAAAATACTTCTGGCTTTGAACATGTTGATCTTATGACCAGCAGGATCCCTGCCCTTGCTTTCCTGGAGGCAGCAGCTGCTCTTGCTGCTGGATTGCTCATTTGCTCCTACACAAAGCCCAGACCCTTAAATGCCCTTAAAAGCTTCGTGTTCTCACTCAGTACAAAGCAGGCTCTGGCTATAACTGTCGCCAAGTACATGGTTGCCCATCTGCCATCGCTTTCTTGTAGGGATTCAGTAATTAGCAATTAGGCTTTTACTTCCCATCTCTTTCAGCAGCAAAGCTCTCATTAGCCAGCTCGCAAACACCAGCCTTTTAAGCCTGTTTTGCCTAAACTTTGACAAAGTCTCTGCCATCCTGGTTTGGTGCCAGAGCCTGCAGGCTGGAGGTCACCAACTCCAGCATCGATCCACATCCAGGCTTGGAACACCAGGAGCGAAACCCTCTCTAAATGCAAACATGGATGGGTAAGGTTGGCAGCACAAAGATGCTCTCCATGATTTCCTGGTCCATTCAAACAGCATCTTGGATGTTTTCCATCTCTACATCATTACTGCATGTGCTTGGAGTGGCTTGGCAGCATCAGGCTATGGGCTTACGCTGCAGAGCAAACACAGCCAGCCTTATTCAAGGCACAGCCACAACATAGGAAAGGCTAATTATAAGATTCCACAGGGCAGCAAGGCTGGCCAGGGAAAAAAAGCTCTTTTTGTCCTTCTTTATGGTCCTTCTGCATAGGACATTGGTGATGCTCACAGGAGATGGGTCCTGGAGGGGTCAGGGCTCAGCAGGACCATTCCCATGTCCACTCAGCATCTGCCATGTGCCATGAGCAGCATCTGTCCTGGCTTCCTGCAGCAGTGGGGTGGATGACATCTACAGCAGCAGCCACCAGATCTCTTTTCTGGTAGCAGCTTGATCTTGGATGGAAAATAGGGAAAATGAGCATAAAACAAACCCATAATAGTAATAATAATAGTAATAGTAATAATAGTAATAACAATTACAATAATTAAATAATAATAATAGGCTTTCCTTTTCAGTTAGCTGGGTGAATGCAGAAAGGAAAGACAATCTCATTGCATGTCCTACACCATTGCCAAGAAACATGTTGGTGATTTATAAG